AAGGATCGCCGGAGCCCAGCAGGTCTAGGCTGCGGTGGCCGGGAGCGGCCACTGCACTCCAGTCTGGGTGACAGAGTGAAACTCCAACTCAAAAGAAAACAAAACAAAAAAAACCAAAAAAAAAAAATGGGTGTGGTATTTCTTGCCTGTAAGCCCATAATCCCAGCTTCTGGTGAGGCTTGAGGTGGAAGGATCCTGAGCACAGAGTTGAGGGTGTGGTGAATGATGATCCTTCTAGTGTATCTCAGCCAGGGCAACAGAGCAAGACCACATCAAAAAATAAATACAATTGTCTTTGCCTCAATAAATAAAAATGTTTTTTTAAATAGTCACGGGGGCCAGTTGCTGTGACTCATGCCTGTAATCCTAGCATTTTGGGAGGCCAACGTGGAAAATTAGCCAGACATGGTGGCACATGTTTGTAGTCACAGCTTCTCAGGACCCTGAGGTGATGGGATGACTCAAGTCCAGAAGTTTAAAGCTGTAGTGAGTTGCGATTATGGCATTGTACTCTGGCCTAAATGAGAGATGACAGAGTGAGACTGCTACTAAAAATAAAAAATGTTGAAGTCATGAGTAATTGTTATTTATGTGACAGGATTATAGAGCATTTGGAGGTTACAAGTGGAACAGTAACTCTGTGATGTGGACTCCAATGCACATATACACATATTAAAATTAGCTTAAGTTAAAAATAGGCAAGAAGCATGGCTTACACTTATAACAAGAGCACTTTGAGAAGCAGAGATGGGAGGATGGCTTGAACCCAGGAGTTTGTGACCAGCCTAGGCAACACAGTGAAACCTCTAAAAATTAGCTGGGTATGGTGGCACTGGCCTTTAGTTCTGACTACTCCAAGGGCAGTGGAGGGAGGATAGCCTGAGTACAGGAGGTTAAGGTTGCACTGATTCATGATATGTCACCGCACTCTAGCCTGGGTGACAGAGTGATACCCTGACTCAAAAGAAAAAATTAACCCTTTTGAGAGTCTGCAGAAAAAAATGGATCACATGTTCAGGACAAAGACTACATTCTAAAAAGGGTGTACAATAAATTTTGATTTTAGTAAATAAGAAAGCTTAACTTGATAAACACAAGCCCACAAAATATATTACCTACAATCTGAGGGCACACAGACTCATATTTAAAATGTCAAGATATAGCTGGGCTCAGTGGCTCAGCCTGTAATTCTGCACCTTTGAGAGGCTGAGAGATGAATAACACAGTGTCATTGACAGAAAGGGTCAATTTCTATGAATTTGATAAAGTAACCCACACCTTTGAGTGGATTGCCTGAGCCCATGGGTTCGAAACCCACCTGGGCAACTTGGCGAGACCTCATCTCTACAACAAATCAAAATGAGCCGGGTATGGTAGCACGCACCCGTAGTTCCAGCTTCTCGGAAGGCTGAGGAGGAAGGATCGCCGGAGCCCAGCAGGTCGAGGCTGCGGTGGCTGGGAGCGGCCACTGCACTCCAGTCTGGACGACAGTGAGAATCCAACTCAAAAAAAAAAAAAAAGGAATAAAATACTAACACTCCTGGGAAAGAGCACTTTACTAATTGAAAAGATTCTAATAACGTATAATTAATCTTCTAATAAATGTCAAGATAAAATTACAGACTCTTTGCTAATTAAAAACTGCTGACATAATATTTGCTCCTTATTAATTATAAGTCAAACAGGCTAGTCAAAGAAATGGACCAATTAGATTTTAATCAACATAACTTATTCTTTTTCATGATAACAGAACTGGGTTTACAGGAAGTTAACCTTTCTTTTTTTTCTTTTCTTTTTATTTTTTTTTTGAGTTGGAGTCTCACTCAGTTGCCCAGACTGGAGTGCAGTGGCCGCTCCCGGCCACCGCAGTCTCGACCTGCTGGGCTCCGGCGATCCTTACACCT